TAGGGTTTAGGGGTGTAGGGGTTTGGCGTTCAGGGATTGGCATCGGGGGGGAGTCTTCTCGAAGCAATTCTACTAGGAGGTTGGTGGGAAAACACATATGAATCCAATCTATGAGGCTCATCAAGCAGCAAGGTGACGAAATAGCAGGCCCTGGTTAGTCTCCATGCATGAAATAGGTTTGAAGGTTTAGTCCTCGAGCCGATTTCCCATCGCAAACCCGAAACCAGGGAACTTCAGCTGTTGTCATGGATACTGTACCCATATACATACCATTTACTCAGACCGTTGTCCTTGAACTGCTGCCATGATTTGATTGCTACAGGTATCATGTCGGATCAGCTTCCACTTTCTGAGAATCTCGCATCGAATCAACCCGACAGCCGCTGTCAAGAAAATATACTGAACTCAACAAGGCCGCCGCAATGCCCCCAACCACAAAAAAGAAAAGCTCCAATCAAGCTGAATCCAGAGCTCTGCCGAATCTTCAATGCGAACCACAAAACACCCCACAACATAGGGGCCTCAACTATTGGAACACTTCGTGTTTTGGGTTAGATTATATTACAATTCTATTGAGGCCCCCATAGCAAATCCTGGGCTTCGCCGCCTGTGCTCCCTTGGCTTCCAGGTCCTTGAGCTGCGCAGCTTGGCGCTCGCAGCGTTCGGAGAGCTCCTGGAGAGCGATTTGTTAGGGGCTATTAGGGGCTTAGGGTTTTGGGGATCACCACAAGGGACATATACTATACTAACAAGTCACCATGAGGGTTACTGCAAGAGTTCAAAATGATGGTTCTATAATGTTCTATAGCACTTCGGGATTACGGTTTTGGGGAGTTCTGGGCGCACCCTTTTGTTTCAGCGAGTCACGGAAGAATTGAGCGGGTTCAAGTTTCATTCTTCAGGGTGGGGTTTGAAGCTGTCAAGTCTACGGTGCGCTCAGAGGGTTTTGCATGTTTGCGCTTGAAAATCCGGCCGAATTTCGCTTTAGGCTTTGTCAGGGTTCAGACTGCCAGTGGGATTTCATGGCTTCAGGATATCTGGGGCGGCACGAGATTCGAATCTATGGGCTACGAAACGAATTGGAAAGGTCGTGGAGTTGTGTTACGCTCTATCGAATAGCATTGGGGTCATAAGCAAAGCACGCTAAACCCTAAACCTAAACTCGTACTTGACGTATTTGTGGTGCCAGCCTGGACCGGGAGCCCCAAATCTACTGCAAGTCACTTTAGCTTAGTATCTTCGAGCGAAAAGCTTCGGGGATCGCACAAACCCCGAAAAACAAAAAAGAACAACTATAGCTAAAGTTTGCAAGCACCTCCAACATCAATGAAAACCCGCCCAATGTTAGCCCAAAACTTCTCAGAGCCGAACCCTCCAATACACAGTCCCAACCTTCGCCAAAAACCCGAGTCCCGAAAGACTCCTCCCGCTCCCACTTGAGCCGCAGAGCTTCCCGCTCAGAGAGCGCCTCTGGCCTCAAGCTGGGTTTGGGGTTTAGGGGTTTAGGGCTTTAGGGTTTAGGGTTATTCCGGCGCAGGCCCTTGATTCACAGGGATTTATGGAACTTGAACATTCTATGGAGAAATGTTGCGTTTCGCAGAGGTACATTGGATTCGGGTGTTTGGTGGTGACGGTAGGTCGACCTCCTATTCCTTGCTGCCTGTACATGGAGCTTGGATTGGCGCAGGGCATGCCAAAGCCTCAACCTCAACACCCCGAGCAACAAGACCTCAAGGCTCGAAACCTGCATCCCGAGTCAAGGTGGGTTGGCCCACTGAAATGCATCAGACGTCCCTTGTGATGAATGGTAGGAACGTGCCAAATTCAAGACTGCGTTTTTAGACAATCTTCCACAGGCCATAGGTTGTGCTACTCGGTGGTGGTGATGGATGGTGATGGTAGTGGTAACTGTGGTCGGCATGGTAGTCCGTAGTCGTCCTCATCGCGGGTCGTCGTACACCGGACCTCTGTCAGTAGCCTGGTTCTTCTTCGGATCCCTGAGATCATGGCGATGCGGACGCGCCGCTGGGAGTTGCTCCTGGCGTCGGCCAAGCCGCCAAAGGCATGTGAATGCGTCCCGCAAGCTGTGTAGACTCGCACCAGAAGAGCTGAGACTCTAAGCCGAAGTTATCCAAACGAAGTCCAAGACGTCCCAGAAACGCCGTGTGAATCTACCCGAGGCCCATTATGTCCGAAAATTCTTTGCACAGCTCGGACTCATGAGAATCGTCACAACACGTGGCAACAGCAGGGGCAAGAGGAAAAACTCATCATAATGAACCGTGATGGTCCGCAACCCAGACCCTGAACCTCTATCACGACTCAATGGCGCTAGTGTAGGGGTCTTAATAGTTAATATAGCGCTTTGGGGTATATTGTCGTACTATAATTAAAATAACGAGCCACCAAAATAGTATAGGTAATTATTAAGAGACCCCTATATTAGAACTCCAAAGCGTCCTTGACCCACCACTTGGGAGTTGCCCGTCAAGGGGCCACTGGCACCTCCGGCCTGACAGCAGAGAACAAACCCTAAACCCTAAACCCTAAACCCCTAAACCCTAAACCCCTAAACCCTAAACCCTAAACCCCTGAACCCCAAACCCTAAACCCCGAACCTAAACCCTAAACCCTAAACAGAAAGCGATGCGTCTCTGGTTGGAGGTTCCGGGAGTTCGAGGCCGCTTGATGTAGGGGCCTGAATAATTAGAATAGGGTTTTGGGGTATATTATCTTATAATTATACTAATCCCCAACATCGTATAGGTAATCATTAAAGCCCATCTATTATGAGGTTTGAGGGTTCAGGGTTTGGGAGCTTGGATTTGGGCGCGAAATGTTTCGGGGTTCGGTGCTTCCGGTCTTGTACGGTCAGAGGATTCCGCTTTCGAAGCTGTATGGTTGACAGCAACTGCACCACGAGGCCACGCAACTTCTGCGCCTACCGTCCTGTTCACATCATCTGATCTTGCAGCACATCTCAATTATGAAAGCAACCAGCTGCGGTCAACCTTTTTTCTGCGGAGCTTTTTCAGCTTTGACCTCCGCAGTCTCCTTCCGCAGGAGGTCCAGCAGGCCGCGGTTCTTGCACGCGCCTCAGGGACGGGGTTCGGGGTTTTAGTCTTGTCAACTATGGAGGGCCGCCTGCGCTACATGTTGGGCCCCACTGCCTGGTTGTGCAGCTTCGGAACCAGAGCTGCGCGCCCTGAGCCTCTGCTGCGTGACTTCGAACTCCTTCTTCTTCTTCGGTGGGATCTCCCCATCCATACGCCCGTGAGTCAGGTAGCGCTGGCGCTTGACTTGTGCTTGGTGTGCTTCGCAGTACTCTATACCAGGAAGGTGCGGCAAACGGCATTGCCCACCCCAACCTCCAGCCCAAATCCTGGCCATGCAGAAGAAGTCGGGTTCGGCGGCCTCTCGTTCTTCAAGCAACCTTTCGGCCTCTTCAAGTGTTGTGCCTTCGGGCAGAAGCCCATCTACCAGCCA